GTGCGCAAGTGTGTATGTGTGTGTGTGTGTACACGCAGTGTGTGTATATGTTTGTATTTTTTACTATGTGTCTGCAAATCGAGCTATTAGCTCTTGGACCCCGCCTATCTAACCAACCTAGTTTCCTCTATTAGATCTACTACATATATTTATCTCAAACACATGTTCATATGTCTGTATGCATGTGTGTATGTACATGTGTATGCACATATGTATGCATGACGTAAACTATCACGAGAAAAACCTATAAAATGTATGGCGAGAGTTACATACACTATGCTTGTAGACTTGAAAATCTATTTAAATTCATGGATTGGGAAACACTAATGCAATTATTCATGACATTTATGAGACAAACTGAAATATGCAGCAGGTGTCCATGTAAAAGACAACAAAATATAATAGGTGCAAAGACATGCTACCGAATTACTTCCAGGCTTAAACAAAATTCTATGATAAAGACTCGAGGCACTAAAAAATTCCAAAACTAGTAGATAGATCCAAACAAGGCAACATGATCACCACATACAAAATCCTGACAAGAATCATCAAAGGAAGCATCTAGAAAACCTGCATCTTCTAGAACAAGAGGCCAGAGACTCGAGGCAAGAAAATAAATGTGCCAATATTTTTTTTTTTTTTTACAAAATTAATTGTTGATGGTTATAACAATTTGAGCTCGATGATGGATGGGAAAACTATAAGTAGTTTCAAAGATTCATGTGACGAAGACTGTACTGAAGACAGGACACCGTGTACACAGCTCTCTCGTAACTACACATGGGTAATTACATATGCATGCATGTTTGTGTGCGTGTGTTTGTGTATGTGCACATGTATGTGTGTGTGCATGTGTGTATGTGCACACGTGTGTGTGTATGCGCACGTGTAATTACCTAAGTGTAATTACCTAAGTGTAGTTACAGGATGAGAGCTACGCTCATGGTGTCCCGTCTTCCCAGCACTCTTTGTCATATAACGCTTTGAAACTACTGACGGTCTTGGCCTCCACCACCTTCTCACTTAACTTGTTCCAACCGTCTACCACTCTATTTGCGAAGGTGAATTTTCTTATATTTCTTCGGCATCTGTGTTTAGCTAGTTTAAATCTATGACCTCTTGTTCTTGAAGTTCCAGGTCTCAGGAAGTCTTCCCTGTCGATTTTATCAATTCCTGTTACTATTTTGTACGTAGTGATCATATCACCTCTTTTTCTTCTGTCTTCTAGTTTTGGCATATTTAATGCTTCTAACCTCTCCTCGTAGCTCTTGCCCTTCAGTTCTGGGAGCCACTTAGTAGCATGTCTTTGCACCTTTTCCAGTTTGTTGATGTGCTTCTTAAGTGTGTATGTACACGTGTGTGTGTGTGTGTGTGTGTGTATGTGCACGTGTGTGTGTGAGTGCATGCATTTGCTAGTACAGTATTACCTAATAACCAAGTTGTTTTTGGAGTTTCCCTTATAACGGTAACAAACAAGGAGTTTAATGAAATTAACAAATTACACTGGCAACAATAATTAATTCAGGCCTAGTTTTATCCATTTAGGCATTGTTTTAGAATAATAGGCATAATTAAGTAGGTCAGGTTGCTAAGACAATTATAACTGAAATTTTAACAAATCAATATCCTGTTCAGTACATTAAAATTAAAACATCTATTAAAATTAATATATTAACAAAATATCAGCTTGTTAGGCATCTCTGGCTATTAGGTATGCCATTATATACATTATATATATAAATATAATATATATTTATACACACACACACACACACACACACACACACACACACACACATATACTGTATATACCATATTTGAAATACTGTACAGTACTGAATAACATTTTTATTATATAATTTAACATGCAGCAAATTATTTTCTAGATAGTTTCCTCTTGCGTCCCCTGCGTTGTCCTGCACTCTTGCCCCTTAATGTCTTGGAAGAGAGACCAGCAGTGCCCTTGGCCACTGAGGAAACTATATCACGCTTGATATGCCTGCGTAGCCCCGGGCAACTACTACGGGCCTGTTTCATGTTGATAAAGTCAATATTATAGTTGTAACCAGCTATAAGCAGCATGATCGACGACTCTCCTTTTGTGTAAGCTTCCTCAAGATCAGTATTTGTGCGTTCATCATACCGCCACCATCCTGTGGGACAGTCACGCACTTTCAGTACACTAATTTGGTCTCGACCCATAACACTTTTTTCAAAATGAATTACACCACTAATCTATATTTGACATTTTTCAAACCATCATCTGTTTTTTTAATTAAACAAAAGGAGTCCATCAAGGTTTCTGTTTGCCTTCATTTTAAAAGTAGGACAATACAGGGTCTGCAAAGACAAGTAATCAACTACCTGGTGATAATGTTAGAAAGTAGCTGTAATGCTCATCACAGAAATAAGAAAACAAATACACAGAAGTGGTGTGAGAATGCATTTTGTCAATGTAAAGAGCTGTAGACAGGTTACTTTTACTTACACACACACACACACACACACCAGTAATGTTCATCAGCTACTTAAATGATTTACCATAAGGAATACAGAGATATATATGAATATGTTTGCTGATGATGCCAAGATCCCAAGGAATACAAGAAATTTTGACGATTGTCATGGCCTTCAAGAAGACCTGGACAAAAGCGTATGGAGCAACACTTGGCAAATGGAATTTAATATGAATAAATGTCATGTTATGGAATGTGGAATAGGAGAAAATAGACCACACGACCTACAAGTTGTGTCAAAATGCTTTTAAGATTTCTGATAAGGAACAAGATCTAGGAGTGGTCCTATACAGAAAACTCTCGCCTGAGGACCACATAAGGAACACTGTGCACCGAGCCCATGCTATGCTTTCCAATTTCTGAATTGTGTTTAAATATATCAATGGTAAAATACCAAATGAACTGTTCACGACCGTTGTGCGACCAAAGTTGGAATATGCAGCAGTTGTATGGTGCCCGTATCTTAAGCTCATCAACAAAATGGTGTATAGACATGCAACTAAATGTCTTTTAAAACAAAGACAAGAGCTACAAGGAGAGGCTAGAGACCTCTCCTTGTAGAATTTGCAATAGGCAAAATACGCAAAAGCTATAAGATAGAAAAGCTGTGATATGATCTTTGCGTACAAAATAGTACCGGGACTGACAAAATTGACAAGGAATTGTCAAGATCTGGAACCCAAGGAACAAAGGTCATTGATTTAAGCCCACTTAACAATGCTGCCGAATATTAAAAAATTAACTTTAGCAGAGTGGTAGACAGTTGGAACAAGAGAGATGCCAAAGCCAAAACCGTCAGTAGTTTCAAAGTGTTATGCTTTCCTTTACCAGTCAAGAGTGCTGGGAAGACAAATCATCATGAGGACACACATACACACTGCATGACCAGGTGGTTTGTGAGACAGGTTACATACAATGCATGACCAAGTAGTGTGTGCAAAAAGAACAAAATGTTCAAGGATTAAATATTATAAATGGACAAAAATAACAAGCATGCATCAGCTATATTTCTATGCCACAAACAGGTAATCGATCTGTCCGTCACAAACAGGTAATCAATCGGTGCGCCACAAACAGGTAATCAATTGGTCCGCCACAAAACAAGTAATCAATCGGTCCACCACAAACAGATAATCAATCAGTCTGCCACAAAAATGTAATCCAATCAATCTCTCTTGCATCTCATAGTGATGAACTCTTATGTTTGTTGAAAAACAACAAAAATTTGAAAAATATACATGGATAAAAACAGTCACACGAGGGCCTGAACTAACAAAGAACAATCCAACAAGTGTCTGCTCATCTTCAATTACAGCAAATGGAGAATGATGAAGATCAGTGCTAGGGACAGGAAGAGGATTTGTATTAAACATCACATCAAACTTGCCTCTTAAAGTTTCCAACAGGATATTATCAATTAAATATGCAGAGAGCTTTCCAGCATCCAATATACAACATACATATGTCAGTAATTTCAAAGTGTTATATGACAGAGTGCTGGGGAGACGGAACACCACGAGCATAGCTCTCATCCTGTAACTACACTTAAGTAATTATACATCAAACTAATCCTAGACCACGTGGCATCGATGGGAACCCAGCGCTTAGCAAGTACTTTGGCCTCGGTTCTTATTATGGCCGGGAAATATTGACTGCGTGTCAATCCTTAACTGTAGTCTGTTCACCCAGCAGTGAATGGGTATCTGGTTGTTAAATGATTTGGCAGGTCGTATTCGGGGGAAAATTAGGATTAAGGACCTGCCCAAAACACTGTGTGCCAGTAGCTTTACAAGATTGTAAGAACTCTTGTATATATAAATAAAAAATAGGCAAGTCATCAGGATAGCCCCAGAGTCGAGTAGTAATTACAAAGAAAGGCTAAAGGAAATGAATCTCGTGTAACTGCAAGAGAAAAAACAGAAGACATGATCACCACAAACAAGGACAAGCTACAAGAAAAAGGTGGAACAGAAACCCTTTGGACACAGGTGGAAATGTGCTGAAATGAGTCACAGAAAAACACACATTCTTTTTGTAACCCAGAAAGAGGGACCCATGCATCTTCTCTACATGACTGTCATCCCCCCCCCCCCCCAATAGACCACAGTCAGCCCCCGTCAGCATGAGAACCACATGTCACCACCCCAGGCATAAATATGCATAAATGCTTGTGCAATTACAAAATTATCACAGTTGATCAGAAAGCCCAAACCAGCAAAAGGCTATACTGATAAATTTCAATCGGTATCGAGCCGATAAATATCCTTTTACATACTGTAGCTGAAAACTTTATATCCAGCTTTGCTACAAACCATTTAATAACATTCACATTATGGTCACTTCAATGTGACAAAGAGCATACAATCTCATTATTTTGAAATGTATCAAGTAAAAATAGATATACTTTTACATACACAGTAAAAAAAAAAAAAAATACAGTACTGTATACACAATTATGGGTACAAGAAAAATATGGTGGCTTACCATTTCGTCCTTCATAAAACCACTGATATCCTCCTGGGAGAACTTCTTCCTTCTCAACCTCTATGGAGGAGAGAAGAGTCGGGTGGTCAAGAAAGTCCGCTGGTATCTCTTGCCGACACATGGCGCATCTCTTGCTTTGGTTGGCTACACCCTATTGAAGTCCAGGGAAATTTATTCATTAATAACTATTGTGTTCACACAAATATATGAAATTAACAGTGTGTCACATATAATTTAAATCAATTTAAAACACATAAGAACAGATGTGGCCAGGCTGCATGAAGACTGTCAGTGCCAGCCCTTATGCATAAATGGGAGACATTCATGTTATAAACAAAAACAAATGGGTCTACTTTGAAAACCATCATACAGTATACCAAATTTTAATTTTGGGCAAGGTTTACCATTAGACTGCTGGATATTGGCCTATGACACCTTTAATATTGGTTTAATTCAGCTAATAAAAAATGCCACAAACTTTTGACTCAAGTTGTTAAGGATACAAGAAAGCTAACAAGCATTTTAATTTTGTAATTGTATTAGTGGTTTCCATTTGAAAGGAGTGTTTATTCAATGTATCCACAATGCTAGCCATATGCTGTATTGTGACTACCAATTTTTGTCAACTACCATTCAAGCTGTCATTGCAATCAATCTTAGCTACCTATGTGCTTTAATATACTGTACCTACAATTTTCTCTCATCTTCTTTTTTTCATTTCATGTAACTGTTATTTTTTGTCTATAAATTTTGCAAGTATTTACCTCCTTAAAATTTTCTTAGATTAAGGACCTGCCCGAAACGCTGCGCGTGCTAGTGGCTTTACAAGACTGTAATTACCATATTTGTATCCTCACATTCCTTATGTACATTCTTGTATATACATAAATAAAATAAATAAATGTAGGTCAGAGTCCAGTCAAGTGGATGTGCCACAAATGTTATTTTCTGTGGATACCAGATCATATATCCTTAAAATATATTTAATAAATTTATGCAGAACTTTGTAGAAAAGCTGAACAAAAATAAAGCTTTGAATATGGGTACTTAAACAAGCCTACATTTAAACAGATACTGTAGTACAGCCGATTTTCACTTTAAGAGTAAAGATATTTATACTGTTTATGCTCACTAATTAATATCATATGTGGATGACCCCAATCAAAATCACATTAAGATTTGATTGGGGTCTTCTTTCAAGACTTGGTTGGAAAATTAACAAATAAAATTTTTTGTACATAATTCATATTTACACATACAACTAATTTGCATGGTTAGTGAGGACCTCCAAAGAATAAATAAATTAGAATAACAATAACAAATTTCAACTTACCCTGTAGAGTTAACATCTGCTTGATCAATGAAAAACCTTTACTTAACCTATTCCTAAGTAAAGGTTCTAATTTACCATTTACCTAATCTATCCCTAAAATGATTGTTCTATAGCAGCTTTCACTGCCATTTGTTGACGTTTTGCTGGGTAAAGGTCTTTAGCTTGCCGATCATATCAATAAGGAATATTTTAGCTTGCCTCCCTTTGTCCATTGGCATCTTTTATCACCAGGTCATTAATTGACTGCATAACTTGCATCCTCTAACAGCTTCATGTTGATTGCTATCATCATACATGGTTAAAGTAAAAAAATTATTACCTTGTAGTTAGTAGTTAGAAAACATGATAGGAAAAAATTATTTCACTAACAAAGGTACTGTTATAGTATGTAGAATCGTGGGGAACACGTAGGAGAGTAGGTTCACGAGGTCAGGCCTTGTCCACTCAGTAGGCCTCTAGATGTTAATGTAGGGATATTTTTTTCAGGGAAATACACCGAACAGCCTATACATTCAGTTCATAACAATTATTATTTATAAATATATTAGATATTATATTTCTATACAGTATTTTATGTTACTAATGTACTTTTAATTTAATTTGTGATGCAGTATGAACAAGGGTTATCACATACCAGTCAGTAACCTGAATGCATAACCCAGTACATACAGGTGTACATTAATTTGGAATTCTGAGTTAAGTAATAAAAACTTATCTCTACTTTGGCCAGAGTACCCAAACGTCAAGGTTACCGAGGTCTGAATTAGCAAGCTCTTACAGAACAGTATTTTTAATTAATCAAATTCTTGGTTTTGGAACAAATTAAATTTTTGCCTATAAGATCCTTAATTAACAAAAACATGATCAGAATTAACCCATGGAGGATGAACAAACTCCTGCATAAGGGTGGTAATTGTATATAAATACAGGGTATTAAAAAACTCTCAGTTGACCTACTTTGACACATAAGAAGCAAAAAATGTGAGAGCATGGGAGGCGAACTGGGTGAACACACTTTTGCAAACACACTGCACACTCAAGTTCCTCCTCCTCCTCAATATCTTCCTTTTTCTGCTGCTGCTGTTGGAGCACTCCAGCATCACCTGAAAAAGACAAATATACAATAAAACCTAAGAAAATGGTACAGTATACTTGACATCTCTGATGCATGGACAAATTTTAGTCAAAAAACTACACACAATCCCATAGGACCCTCCATCTGCATGAAAGTTTTTTTTTTAACTTTTATATTATAGCAATCAAATTATTTTCCTATTGAATTTTATAAGGAACATGCCCCTTTGTTTAAAAGGGTTGTGAATATTTTTCCCAAATTTCTGAACCTCTACCAGTCATTGTTGTATGCATGCAAAGATGCTCGGACGAGTCTTTCATGTCACTTTACAGAACAATGCAGGAAATGTACTTTTAGATTGCTAATGTCCAAAGACCAGAGTTTTCTAGCCTATCCCAGCCCAACTTAACCTACCCTAACCTAACCCAACCCAACCTAACCTAACCCAGCCCAACCTAACCTTACCTAATCTAACCTAACCCAACCTAACCCAGCCCAACCTAATAATTTACTAATATATGTAGCTTAAATAATTAGAAAAGCAGTTATGTCAAACACCTGTGTACAACTCAACCACGTGCATCAGTACCTTCACTCTCATCACTCTTCTCTTTAAGTGTTGCTGCAGCAGCCTCCTCGGTCGCCGCAGCTTCAGCCATGATAAATGCCCAGGAGTGCCTCAGGGTCCTACAGTGCCTCGGGACCTGAAGTGTCTTAGGAAGGCTTGTCAAGGAGTAGTGCTACAGGAGCCTTCCAAGGAGTGCCTTAGGAACCTGCCTCGGGACCTGAAGTGCCTATTGGAGGCTTGTCAAGGAGTAGTGCTGCTTCAGGGGCCTGCCAAGGAGTGCCTTGGATCCTGCCAGAGTGCCTCAAGACCAGTGAAGTTGTTCCAGGAAGTGCCTGGTGACCTGGGAGTGCAGCAATTGTCTCGCTACTCTTGGGTGTTGGAGCCACTCGCTGTTTACTCTGAGGTCATAAAGGCTGTGAGTGATGGTATAGATGTTCCAGTAGTGGAGAGTGATGGTGTGGAGCCTCCAGTAATACCTTCAGATCCTCTTATAGAGGATCACTGTAGTAAGACTGGACGGTGGCCCACCCGGCCCGTCACACTTTTGGCCGCTCGGCTGCCACTGTTCTCCATTCATACATCAATATAATAAATAAATGCTATTATAATTTTGTTGGTGTTTTTTTTTAAGATTCAGCTACTCGGAACAAACGTTCCAAGTAGCACGGGCTATGGCGAGCCCGTAGTGGACTTATATTATAATGTTTATATTATTAAATAAATATTGTACTACTGAATTACATAATACTTAATTTGTATTTATTCTATTTAATATTTGCTTCAATTAAGTCAATTAATTGCATTAATTCAATATATTTATCTCTACTGGTCTTAGCAATTAGCACAGTTGGTTTCGATTAGTTTGGACATAATTCTTTGCACCTGATGCCTCTGTTCACCTAGTAGTAACTATAGCTACCTGGGAGTAGTCAGCTGTTATAGATTGTCCTGGGAAGGTCAGTATAGTTGGTTAGGTTATATTAGTGAGAGTTCCTTGATAATATGGCACGGGAGACATCTCCCGTCACAGATAGATCTCCAGTATCAGCTATTGATACTGGTAATGGCTCCAAAGGGCCACCACTTACGGGCTATTCATGCCCGTGCCACCTTTTGGGTGGCTTAATCTTCATCAATCAATCGATAATATGGGAAACCAACCATGAGTAAAATCAAGACAACAAAAACAGGAACCTTGAGCAATTAAACCAATGATAAAAAGGCAGCTATACCTCACAACATATATTTTACATCAGTGTACACACTAGAAATATCGATATTTGACAACATCCATTATTCTTGGAAAGTTGGGTGATGCTGTCCCTAATTGTCTGATCTCCGACCTCGGACACACACACACACATTCACTTTTACAGATATAAAATGAAATATGAGATTCTATTCCTGAGCCCAGTGTGTGTCTGTAACCTTTTCCAATACCACGCATACGATGGGTATGGGGTAAAATACCACTCATAGGATGGGGTATGGGGTCTAATACCACTCGTAGGATGGGTATGGGGTACATTACCAACACACAGGATGGGTATGGAGCTTGCCCATCTCCATGAATCCTGTGGGTGGTAGCATTACCACCTACAGCATTCATGGAGATTGGGGGCCCATTACCACCTACAGGATGGGTAATGGGTCCATATAAATCCATACCCAGAATACAACAAGTATTTTGGGTATGGAGTTCGCTAAAACTGTAAATCACAGAATTGAAAAAAAATGGTGGTGAAGGCTGCGCCATCTATTACTGAGAAGTGCAAGTTCCTCCCCCCATCTAAATGGGGGGAGGGGGGAGGATGACGTGATGCTGTTACTGATCAAGTTGGAAGTGTGATGACAACTCCACAAAGTTCCGACACTTGTGTTACTTATACGTAACAGAAACATTACTTGTAACGAGTAATTAAATGCTGAGTGATTGATGGGAGGAAGTCAGAACAGCTCTAAGGTGAAAGTTATTTGTAGTCGTGGTAGTTTATGCTTCAAGCACCACTAGTGTGGGTATGTTGATGCCTCGACCACCCCTATTGTGGGTATGTTGATGCCTCGACCACCTCTAGTGTGGGTATGTTGATGCCTCGAGCACCACTAGTGTGGGTATGTTGATGCCTCGAGCACCACTAGTGTGGGTATGATGATGCCTCGACCACCCCTATTGTGGGTATGTTGTTGCCTCGACCACCTCTAGTGTGGGTATGTTGATGCCTCGAGCACCATTGGTGTGGGTATGTTGATGCCTCGAGCACCACTAGTGTGGGTATGTTGATGCCTCGAGCACCACTAGTGTGGGTATGTTGATGCCTCGAGCACCACTGGTGTGGGTATGTTGATGCCTCGAGCACCACTGGTGTGGGTATGTTGATGCCTCGACCACCACTAGTGTGGGTATGTTGATGCCTCGACCACCACTAGTGTGGGTATGTTGATGCCTTGACCACCACTAGTATGGGTATTTACCTCAAGTCCTTTGTTTACCTGAGGGCCACTGACGAAGACATGGAAATCAGCGGCTTGTCAAAGGTCTCTACATTTATCCAGATGATTTTATCGAGCCAGATTTTGAAATTACAGCAGTGTTTTGGAATTTACTGCTTTGGCGGGTAGGTGGTTTCACCCTATGGGAGGAAAAAATATCCGTTTTCCATCCTAGATTGTGGCTTGTTGAGCTTGAAACCGTTGTTCCTTGTACGTGGTATATCTGACCTTTTGAAGAAGTTGTCTGGATAATATCTTCGAATTGTTCAGTATTTTAGGTTTCGACGAGGTCAGCCCTGTCATGTCTGATTTGCAGTGTTGTTAGCCCTGTGGGCCTCAACTGTTCATGGCATGAGTCAATTTAGTTCTAAAATGATTTTATTGCCCCGCATTGAACTTTCCCCAAAGCTCGTGTGTGATTTCAGGTGAGGGCCTGAATTCAATAGTCATTTATTTATCTACTTATGAACCTGTCCCACTTTTCTTAATCTTTGACGATTTTGTTAACATTTATTAAATGGTTCATTAGCATGGGAATTTCCCAATGAAGTGTTAGTTATAAACAGCCTCCTGGTGCTTCAGAGCTCTAACTATTTTAATAAATGTAAACAAAGCTGGCAAAGATTGAGAAAAGATGTTCAAGCTTGCGAGTACTTGCGTAACTATGCAAGGAAATTACATTAATGTGATGTATCAATGAGAAAATCAGTAGGAGCCATGAAGAGTATTCAAACCCACTCACTTGGTACTCCCAGGTTGGTAGTCTAGGGCGTTTGCTTGGGAGTACTGGACCAAGTGAGCATGTTCGAATCCTCCTTATTGATTTTCCTCCTACAGATTTTCTCTTTCAACTTGTATAACTGCTTGATGGATCTGGCCTGAGGTCTCCATGCCTGGATACAACAATCTAGGTTGGGTACACCACAGATTTATACAGTTGATTCCTCAACCACCAACAGTGTGGTTATATAGCATTTTTTTTTTTTTAAGTTATTGTAGGAATTTATAGCAGTTACATTTAGTTAGTTACATTTGTGTTTAATTTGTTTGTTTTAGTTACATTTGATGTCTGACGATCTAACGTTTAGGGAGCATAACCAAGCAAATATTGTGTCAGCCAGAAAAATGATAGGATGGATTACGAGAACTTTCAAATTTAGGGATCCCATCACAATGGTTGTACTATACAAATCACTTGTGCTGTCCCATCTTTAGTACTTTGCTGCTCGATACTCGCTTCCCCCGTTTTGAGAGCAGGAGAGATTGCGGAAATAGAGGGAATACAGAGAACATATAAGGCATACATAGGCACGATAAAACACCTAAATTATTGGGATCGTCTCAAAGCTCTCCAAATGTACAGTACTTGCTAGAAAGTAGATGAGAGAAGTATCAAATAATGTACATGTGGAAAATACTAGAGGGCCAGGTTCCAAATTTACACAGTAAAATAACATACTGAAGTAAACAATATAGAAAGAATAGCAGAATAGAACCAGTGAAGAGCAGAGGTGCCATAGGGACAATGAGAGAACACTGTATCATTGGAGGTATCGTCTGATAAACACATCAGGAGTTCATGATTGTTCAACATGCTCCCAGCGAGTATAAGAAATATTGCTGGAAAAACCGTGGACATCTTCAAGAGAAAACTGGATATTTTTTTCCAAGAAGTGCCACACCAGCTGGGCTGTGGTGGATATGTGAGCCTGCAGGCTACTCCAATCAACAGCCTGTTAGACCAAGCTCTCTCAAGTCAAGCTTGATCTCGGGCCAGGCTTGCTAAAATCTAAACTTTTATCTCTTCATAAAAACAAAAAATTGTATGGTTGGCTACTATATTTGTGTGATTTCTTTTACAGGAAGCTACGCATATTTGTGCAGCAGGTTGGGCATGGGTGTCCGATTAGTGCAAGGTAGATTTTTGAGGTTTGGAGCTCCCTTTCTGATATTGGTTGTGGGAGGATCGTTTGGACTAAAGGAATTTGCTAAAATAAGGTAAAAAGTCTTTAACTTGTAGATGTTCATGCAAACTCATTATTAGTACAATTTTACCTTTGCAGTACAGTACAGTATTTCTATTTATGTTGTATATTATATGTACTGTAATATAATATATTAGGCAGCAAAGTATGTTTGCTTGGAAAGGAATTTTTCACCATTACTCAGTCTGATTGTTTTTTAAAGTGGATGCATTTTATGTTAATTGGAATGTGATCATCAACTGGATGATTATTAAAATGTAGGGTCATACATTAATATATACTTTCATTGCCAGGTATGATTTTCGAAATCACAGAAATGTAACAAAGGCAGAAGCGGACAAGATGGGAATCAAAATGAAAGACCATTCTGATGTCACATTGGAAACAGAGTTTGAAAAGGTCAAAAAGGTATATTGTTGGTAGTTTTGGATGGTGTCTTTTTGTTGACAGTGTGTGGGTACTTAATTTGGAGAAAGTTGTTCCACAACACAAAATTATGTCTAAGATATTAGCCAAACTCAACAGATTAACAACCCTATTATTGCAGTTTGCATTCCTTCTCAACCTAATAAAAACAAAGGTTTCCTTTCATTATTACTGTGCTATATTACTTTTAATGTTTATCTCATTTATGTTCAATCATATATAATTGTATTGTTAGGAATATGAAAGTTTTATTAAATTTAACTGTTTTAACTCATTTGCTCCCTTAGGCATGGTCCTGCTTACCTATCGGTGACTAATAGGGAGTGATATCTAGTCCCTGCCTTTTAGCCTGAATACCTGGCATGCTAATTACTCCTTTCAATATTAATATTTTTCATCATATCTCTTTTTTAAAGTGTGATTGGAATTGGCTTCAACAACCTCTTTCAATGCATTCCACTTTTCTGACACCTGCACAGGGAACAAGAACTTCTTACACCTCTTCAACTTGATTGCAATTTCAGTTTCCATCGATGTTCCCTTGTCTAACCTTTTGCATCTATTCTCTAGAGAGTTAATTTGTGAACGTTTTGATGCCAAATTAATAGTTATACTGTAACCCAGTAAATAACCAAGGAAATGTGAAATTATCATAAATGTTTTAAGTATTGCTAAGTGAAACCCACTAAGTGCACTAGGTTTACATTTTGCAACAGAGAGAGGACCAAAATCTATTATAAATACAGCCTTGGTTTTGCATCTATTCTCTGCAATTTATTTGCGAAGATTTTAACACCAAATTTATTATTATAACCCAACAAGTAAGTTATAAAATGTTAAATGATTGTAAAAAAAAATTTACATCAGTTAGTGGCCTATGAGCCGCAAGGGAAGCTCAGATTGTTTACAGTCTGGAACTCGGAGAGAGGCTGGATCGCAAAACTGTTAAAAACATTAATGGTCCTAGGACAGAGTGCTGTAACACCACTTTTCACTCCTCTCCATCCTGACATCCTCACTACCTATGACCCTTTGCTTCCTGTCTGTCAAGTACTCCCATAACCACTCCAGTGCCTTTCCTGTTATACCCGCTTGTCTCTCAGTCTTGAGAGGGACTGTATCAAAAGCTTTTTGGCAGTCTAGGAAGACGCAGTTTACCCATCCTTCCTTCTCTTGTTTTATTTAACTGGCCTTGTCATAAATTAAATCATGTTTGTAAAACATGATTTCCCTCTCTGAAGCAGTGTTGTGCTGTTATAACATTTTCTCTCTCCAAATGTTCTACAATCCTTTTTCTGATGAATATCTAGATTCTTGCATGGAATGCATGTTAATAACATTGGTCTATAGTTTAGTGCTTCATATCTGTCCCCTTTCTTGAATATTGGAACTACATTTGCCTTTTTCCATCCACATTTGCCATCCACATTTCTGGCAGCACTCATCTCTAGTGGAATGTTCAACACCATAGTTAATGCATAACACAAAATCCTGCAGCTTCCTTCAATACCCATGGTGATATCTGGCCTGGTCCAGTGAACAAATTCTTTTTTTGATATAGTACTGTACTCCATTGCTCTTCCAGTTTTTAATTTATTACAAATTTTTCCTGCCAGATTGATGTCGATACCTGGGAGAATGTCCGAGGGCCTCGTCCATGGGAAGAAGGCAATCAGCTGTATGAAGAAGCTTTACAGCGTGAGAAGGCCAACTAGAAGTCTAATGTTTAGAAAATGGAAAAGTTCTGAAATGTTTATTTCTTTAAGTTGTACCTAAATAATACATTACATTTAATAGTGTTATCATAAAAGACTACAGTTATGATTAAACATATAATATTTGCCTTGCACTGAATATAACTCACTATGATAAAGAATAAGTAATACGAAATTTAGTCTAAGGAAATAAGTGTATATATTGATAAAATACAGACGCATGACTGATGAGACTTTTATTTACATGAACCTTAAATGTGTTTGCAATGAGCTAAAATTTATCTTTGATCAGTGCAATTGACAAACTACTTACAGTATAACATTTTGAAAATGACTGACATTATGATATCAAATGAAATGCAATCTAAGTAAAAATTATGTTGAAAATAAGTGGACCAAAAAGTAATTTTGTTTGAAAAGTTATTTTGCTGAAAATCTAAATTTGAACAATGAATTAAAGTTGACATTATTGTAGATATTTTACATACAAATAGAAAGGAACTGTGCAAGGTGAAAGCATAGTTAAGAAGAATTTGATCTAGTAGTGCAGAATGTGAAGTTATCAGAATGCGTGTACCAGCATGCACGGCACCTCACGTGCCACATACGGTACCAGAATTGGCAGCTGTCACATCGGTGGAAGGCTGGGGCAATACTAGAGTGAGAGTTGTTGGCCGACTGCGGGACTCTTGCCCAATAAACAATACTGCTGTGTTGGAGTCAGTAGCAGAACCACAAGTTTTCACCATTATGGTAAGTTTGACTTTACAGTATTGTGGCTAGATTCAGAATGGCAGTATGTTGTGACTGGCTAGGATTTCTCAAGTGGTCAAAATGTTCTCGTTTTTATTAATTTGATGAACAGTATAGTGTGTGTGAGTAGGTTTGTTTAAATTGGAAATTTTTCTGGGCAGGGCCCTGTTAGTAGCTTTTGCATCCCATAACTCATCCTATGGGTAGTAGTGGAAAGAGGATACAGAGATACATAATGGCCTCGGATATTGAACTCTAAAAAAATTTATTTAGTTAAGCAAGTTAAGTTCATCTTGATAAACTAATTGCATAATTCAATGAATATTGAGATTGAGAATGACAGCTAGTACTGTCTGTAAGCTAAGCAACAACTTGGCAAAAGTGACTCGGATTTTGTCATATGTGTTAACAGAACTTTATATATACTAATTAACAGCTCACTTATGTTGCCTTTGCATTCTCAACGTGTGAACTTTTAAAAACTAGACCTTCATATAGTTAGTGTGTTTTCTTCTCTGGCACTTGAGTGAGACTCGTGAAGAAACTCACAATTGAAGGAAAGGAGACAGACTAAGAAATGTTTCATCTTATAGGGCTGAGTGCCAGGGGATTTATTCATCAATTCATAAATCAATTTTATTTTACATAGTGCCAAAGCATTTTATAACAGTGCATGCATATCACAGTGTTGACAAGAGAGGCAGCTATTGTGACGAAATACAAATCAATAATCAATGAATCAAGGTCTCTGTGTTGATGCGAGGTGACATTACTAAACATGCTACAGATGTTATTAGACATGCTGATAATATTACTAGACATGCTGGAGACATTGTTGAAAATGCTAGAGAATCCCTGTTTCATCTTTGTTGCCTGTGTACTATATTGCTTTGTACAAGGACCCAATTATCGTCACTAACATTCTCTTTGTAGAAAATAGGTTTTTTTCGAAATTAGCTACCTTGGAGCAGTCAATAATTGCAGTAGCAGTAATCATCAACAGTTAGAGCAGCAGTAATCATCAACAGTTACAGCTGTGGTAATGATCAATAGTTACAGCTGTGGTAATGATCAATAGTTACAGCAGCAGTAATCATCAACAGTTACAGCTGTGGTAATGATCAATAGTTACAGCAGCAGTAATCATCAACAGTTACAGCTGTGGTAATGATCAATAGTTACAGCAGCAGTAATCATCAACAGTTACAGCTGTGGTAATGATCAATAGTTACAGCAGCAGTAGTAATGATCAACAGTTACAGCTGTGGTAATCATCAATAGTTACAGCAGCAGTAATCATCAACAGTTACAGCAGCAGTAATCATCAATAGTTACAGCAGCAGTAATCATCAATAGTTACAGCAGCAGTAATCATCAACAGTTACAGCACGAGTGACGACCACCAACTCCCTCACTTCTGTCTTCTCTCAAACTTCATTGGTTTCTACCTCCTCCCTCCACCATATCCCATCCCTCCCACGAGGTGTTTCACAACCCCGTCCATAAGGGGCCTCGTAGCCTGGTGGATAGCGCGCAGGACTCGTAATTCTGCGGCGCGGGTTCGATTCCCGCACGAGGCAGAAACAAATGGGCCAAGTTTCTTTCACCCTATGCCCCTGTTACCTAGCAGTAAATAGGTACCTGGGTGTTAGTCAGCTGTCACGGGCTGCTTCCTGGGGGTGGAGGCCTGGTCGAGGACCGGGCCGCGGGGACACTAAAAGCCCCGAAATCATCTCAAGATAACCTCAAGAAGATCCCCACCATCCCTATCCACCCCCCATCATCCCCCACCATCCCTTGCACTCCCCCCAATTCCACCCTTACTCTTTGGACACTTTTCCCTCTCACTCCCCACTCCATTCATTGGACATTGACCCCACCACCTCCTCCCATCCCCTACTCGTCACGTCCCCCACCCCATACTACCCTTTGACCCATCCCTTACCTATGCCACAGTGCCCACCATCCTATCCCCCCCTTTCATACCCCATGTCTCTTCCCCCACCTCCCTTCCCCATATCCATATCAGTGCCCCCACCACCGCTTCTACAATCCCCACCCCGCCCAGGAGAGTGGCTGACATACCCACAAGTGTTGATAGTAGAGTGGGGGGGGGGAACTGGTGGAGTGTGTCAAGAGGGGGGTGGAGTGGGGGGGGGGAAAGACTGGTGGAGTGCGTCAAGAGGGGGGAAGAGTGGGGGAGGGGGACTGGTGGAGTGCGTCAAGAGGGGGGAAGAGTGGGGGGGAAAAAACTGGTGGAGTGCGTCAAGAGGGGGGAAGAGTGGGGGGGGGACTGGTGGAGTGCGTCAAGAGGGGGGAAGAGTGGGGGGGACTGGTGGAGTGCGTCAAGAGGGGGGAAGAGTGGGGGGGGACTGGTGGAGTGCGTCAAGAGGGGGGAAGAGGGGGGGGGAGTGGTGGAGCTGCAGGTAATGTTAACACGCCGGGATAAGCAATTTGTTATGTCCTTCATAACCGGATATGACCACATATTAGCAGGCCGCTGGTTTACCAGGCTATGGTGGCTGGCGGTTGGTAGAGGCTACACCAGGCTATGGTGGCTGGCGGTTGGTAGAGGCTACACCAGGCTATGGTGGCTGGCGGTTGGTAGAGGCTACACCAGGCTATGGTGGCTGGCGTTTAGTGAACAATGGTTTACCAGGCTGTGATGGCTGGCGATGGGTCGACGGTGGTCTGACACTCGGTGAGTATACATAACACCAGACACACTGGTGTACACGGCACCAGACACACTGGTGTACATGATACTATACATATGATACAGATATCACGTGATCCACTAATCTGTTATTACCTCATGGCGGCTCAAACCAGTAAGGCGAAGTTGCGTCATCCATAGATCCGCGTCTTGATCAACCATGCCACTATCACTCTAGCGCATGATCAACCATGCCACCATCACTAGCGCATGATCAACCATACCACTATCACTCTAGTGCATGATCAACCAAGACACTATCACTCTAGTGCATGATCAACCAAGACACTATCACTCTAGCGCATGATCAACCATACCACTATCACTCTAGCGCATGATTAACCATGCCACTATCACTAGCGCATGATCAACCATACCACTATCACTCTAGCGCATGATCAACCATGCCACTATCACTCTAGCGCATGATCAACTCAGGTACTCGCCAGTGGCTGAGGGTTGAGTACTCACCTGTGGCTGAATACTCACCACTGGCTGAGGGTTGAGTACTCACCTGTGGCTGAATACTCACCACTGGCTGAGGGTTGAGTACTCACCTGTGGCTGAATACTCACCACTGGCTGAGGGTTGAGTACTCACCTGTGGCTGAGGGTTGAGTACTCACCACTGGCTGAGAGTTGAGTACTCACCACTGGCTGAGAGTTGAGTACTCACCAATGGCTGAGGGTTGAGTACTCACCACTGGCTGAGAGTTGAGTACTCACCACTGGCTGAGAGTTGAGTACTCACCACTGGCTGAGGGTTGAGTACTCACCTGTGGCTGAATACTCACCACTGGCTGAGGGTTGAGTACTCACCTGTGGCTGAATACTCACCACTGGCTGAGGGTTGAGTACTCACCTGTGGCTGAGGGTTGAGTACTCACCACTGGCTGAGAGTTGAGCACTCACCACTGGCTGAGAGTTGAGTACTCACCAATGGCTGAGGGTTGAGTACTCACCAATGGCTGAGGGTTGAGTACTCACCACTGGCTGAGAGTTGAGTACTCAACACTGGCTGAGGGTTGAGTACTCACCACTGGCTGAGAGTTGAGTACTCACCACTGGCTGAGAGTTGAGTACTCACCACTGGCTGAGAGTTGAGTACTCACCACTGGCTGAGAGTTGAGTACTCACCACTGGCTGAGAGTTGAGTACTCACCACTGGCTGAGGGTTGAGTACTCGCCACTGGCTGAGGGTTGAGTACTCGCCACTGGCTGAGAGTTGAGTACTCGCCACTGGCTGAAGGTTGAGTACTCACCACTGGCTGAGGGTTGAGTACTCACCACTGGCTGAGGGTTGAGTACTCACCTGTGGCTGAGGGTTGAGTACTCACCACTGGCTGAGAGTTGAGTACTCACCACTGGCTGAGAGTTGAGTACTCACCAATGGCTGAGGGTTGAGTACTCACCACTGGCTGAGAGTTGAGTACTCACCACTGGCTGAGAGTTGAGTACTCACCACTGGCTGAGGGTTGAGTACTCACCTGTGGCTGAATACTCACCACTGGCTGAGGGATGAGTACTCACCTGTGGCTGAATACTCACCACTGGCTGAGGGTTGAGTACTCACCTGTGGCTGAGGGTTGAGTACTCACCACTGGCTGAGAGTTGAGCACTCACCACTGGCTGAGAGTTGAGTACTCACCAATGGCTGAGGGTTGAGTACTCACCAATGGCTGAGGGTTGAGTACTCACCACTGGCTGAGAGTTGAGTACTCAACACTGGCTGAGGGTTGAGTACTCACCACTGGCTGAGAGTTGAGTACTCACCACTGGCTGAGAGTTGAGTACTCACCACTGGCTGAGAGTTGAGTACTCACCACTGGCTGAGAGTTGAGTACTCACCACTGGCTGAGGGTTGAGTACTCGCCACTGGCTGAGGGTTGAGTACTCGCCACTGGCTGAGAGTTGAGTACTCGCCACTGGCTGAAGGTTGAGTACTCACCACTGGCTGAGGGTTGAGTACTGGTTGATACCTGGTTGATACCTGGTTGATGGGGTTCTGGGAGTTCTTCTACTCCCCAAGCCCGGCCCGAGGCCAGGCTCGACTTGTGAGAGTTTGGTCCACCAGGCTGTTGCTTGGAGCGGCCCGCAGGCCCACATACCCACCACAGCCCGGTTGGTCCGGCACTCCTTGGAGGAGTACTCACCACTGGCTGAGGGTTGAGTACTCACCATTGGCTGAGAGTTGAGTACTCACCACTGGCTGAGAGTTGAGTACTCACCACTGGCTGAGAGTTGAGTACTCACCACTGGCTGAGAGTTGAGTACTCACCACTGGCTGAGGGTTGAGTACTCACCAGTTGGCGGAGGACATAATGGCTGAAGGCCTGGATTTCATCATTGGTAGTGGAGGGTACAGTTGTGAAGGGAGCACATGCGCATTTCCAGCGTCTATTAAATAAATAAATGTTTATTTAGGTAAGGTACATACATACAAGAAATTTTTACAAAGATTGGTTGACTTATAGGTAGAGCTAGTACATACAATGCCTAAAGCCACTATTACGCAAAGCGTTTCGGGCATTAAAAGTACTCCTGAGGTCCCTCCATTTTGTACTGTGTGTCTGTACTCACCTAGTTGTGCTTGCGGGGGTTGAGCGTTGGCTCTTTGGTCCCGCCTCTCAATCTACTAGTGTTCAGATTCGTGAGCTTCTCGAGCTCTATCATATCTCCATATGAATCTGTGTATGGAGTCAGCCTCCACCACATCACTTCCTAGTGCATTCCATTTACTAACTACTCTGACACTGAAAAGTTCTTTCTAATGTCTGTGGCTCATTTGGGTACTCAGCTTCCACCTTGTGTATGTACCACCCGTGTTAAATAATCCATCCCTGTCTACCCTGTCAATTCCCTGAGATTTTTGTATGTGGTGATCATGTCTCCGAGCTTTTTTGTCTTCCAACGACGTGAGGTGCAGTTCATGCAGCCTTTCCTCATAACTCATGCCTCTTAGTTCTGGGACTAGCCTAGTGGCATATCTCTGAACGTTTTCCAGTGTGTGTAATTACCTAAGTGTAATTACCTAATTGTAGTTACAGGATGAGAGCTACGCTCGTGGTGTCCCATCTTCCCAGCACTCTTTGTCATATAAAGCTAAGTGAGTGTGTGTGAATGTGTGTGTGTGTGTGTGTGTGTGTGTGTGTGTGTGTGTGTGTGTGTGTGTGTGTACAGTAGTTTTGACACTGAATCCAGTAATTATAGTAATTTCCTGATGTGCTAAAAGCTTGGTGTACACAGTATTTTTCATTAGTAGTGTGGAGTCTTGCACGGTTATATGGTAGTTGGCGTCTTCTTGTATACCTGTATGGTGATGGTGTTACTGTGACTTATGGTGTTACTGTGACTATGTGTTATGGTGTTACTGTGACTATGTTAAGGTATTACTTTGTATCAGTAATGGTGTTACTCTGTACCATTTAAGGTGTTGTTGTGATTGATCAGTTCTGGTGTGACAAGCACAGTACGGTGTAAATTATTGTGACAGTTACGGTATAAGTTACTGTGGCACGAACTGTCTCACTGAAGGAAAATATTCTCATATTTCTCCATTTTCTTTATGGAAGCTTGGATGTGTTTTTCTCTCTCTCTGGTGTGTGATCACTTGTGTGTGGTATTGGAGGTTGGACGCAAGCTCTTGGGCTCCGCGGGTATGTATGCGAGCGCGCGTGCGCGTTCGTGAGCGTGCGGTGATGTGGCAGCGTTGCCTATAGTTACCATGGCAACAGCGGGGAAAGTTACCAGGTTTTCTTATTTATAGAAATGTTTTTCGTTGATATTTAGGTTATTATTGATGTAGTGTAGCGCGCCTCCTCCCAGCAGGCGGCAGTTCCAACATTGGGTGTTGGTGGAGGAGGAGAGTGGCGTGGGCGGGCGTTGTGGGCGGCTGGGCGGGGAAATAAGGGTGGGCGGTGGTGGGTGGAAGATCAACGGGGCGGCCGGGACAGAACAGCTGATCACCACAACAACTCCTACAACAACAATAATAATAAGGCCAGGCAGTGTTGTGTACGGGTCTCGTGTACGTATAGCGATGTGTGCAACTGCTGAGGGGGCGTGTGCTCCTGGTGAGGGGCGTCTAAACCTGGTATGGGGCGTGTATGTGTGCGTGGGGAACGGCCCTGGCCTCCTGAAGGCTTTGTTGGGCCGCCCTCACCAACTCTCACTCCACCAAATCATGGCGGTTTGTGCACCTGCTGAGGGGTATGTGCACCTGCTGAGGGGCATGTACACCTGCTGAGGAGCATGTACACCTGCTGTGTGTTGTGGAGTAGCGTATGGCGGGCGGCTCTGGCCTCCTGAAGACTTTGTTTAGGTGCCCTCACCAACTCTCACTTCATCAGCTCAACATTTCACACGATTTTTTTTTGTTTTGCAACATTTGGTGGAGTTAGAAGGCAAGTTGAGTCGTGCTCAACTTTGGTAAGATGCTCATGACTTCCATCTCACACTTGTGGCTCCATTTTTAATAACCTGGGTTAGAAGAGAGCCCCAAGTGCTTCATTGTTGCCACTCTTTAAATAAATGTAACATAATGAATATAAAAAACTTAGTTTTTATACACTGCAGGGTGTGAACAATCCCAGTTCATTTGGGATCTTTTTGGTTGCTATTGATGGTAAACTTTGGATTAGTTGAGTTGCCTCATTATTATCTCATTTGTAATTACATGAGAGAGAGAGAGAGGCAAAAACATTAGTTAAGATAAATAAAAAGATATGCTTGAAAATAGAATAAAATTATATAATGTCAGAACATATCCTCTAGGAAGAATTTTAGATAATGAAAAATTAAAGTGAATATGAAATGAAATGGATATAATTTTTTATTGAGTAATATATTGGGCCAAAATATTTATTTTCAACCAAATCTTGAAAGCAAATCTTGATCACCTGGATTGTAATAGATATTAAGGCTCGTGGAATGCTTCAAGCAACAGCCAGACCAATCAAGTTTATCTCCAAAATTAAATATTAATGATTTCTGGTGTCTTCAAGTGCATATTTCAATTAAATATTTCACATGTATTTAATGGAATTACTCGGGACCAAGTTGGCCATAATTACTTTTTTCTGAAAGGACCATGACTGGGACCATCAGTCCATTTTGAGGCAAGAAATGAGACTAGGAATGTCGTTTCATTTTTAGGAATGATTGCCACCTTTGTCTACCCTAAGCTGTATCCTTCCCTTCCCTACCGTTATGTAGTTGTGCCTAACCTAACACATTATTACAGTGCGTAAAAGTATGGCAAATACTGTTGGCAAAGGTAAGTTGATAAAGAGACTGCAGTCTCAACAGAGTGACAAACAAGACATCACAGGACACCCTTCGAGAAGACATCTTACTACTGGGACATTATTTAATGTTTAGGCCTAAGGTGCCAAATCTTGAAGACAAAAAATATAACAAAACCAATAAATTTTCACTCCAACTAGTGTATAGGGGAAACTATAAACCATCACTTTATAGTGTCTACTGATACTGTTTGAAATATCAGTTTATAAAGTGTGTGCTAATATTATCGGAAGTATTAGTTTGTAAAGTGTGTACTAATACTATGTGAAGTATCAGTTTATAAGTATTTGCTTCACTGTTTACCAGTGAAGACCTTGCCAGCTTTCCTAGGATGGAAGCAGATGCAAAGATGAGATCAAAAATAAACTATGTGCAATAGTTCACATTCCACATACTTACACCACCTGATTTTCTAAAGGGAAAACTTGCTTCCAGTATTTGTATGCTTGTTCAACCTCTTGGGCTTGACGGTCTCGCTTCATGCAGGTCAGCTTTTGATCTCTGACCGTCCAAGTGGTTGGACACCATTCCTTCCCTGGGACCTGACAGCTGAGTGGACAGTGCTTCGGATTTGTAGTCAAGCCCGGCCTGAGGCCAGGCTTGACTTATGAGAGTTTGATCTGACTACTGGTCTGACTACTGGTCTGCCTACTCCTATCACTTTGTAGAAAAAGAATTGATTTCTTCTTCATTCCTGCTCTCATTTACACTGTGTGTGTATGTCCGTCCATCTATCCATCCATCTATCCATCCATCTATACGTCCATGTCTATCCTGACTTTTAGGATGATTATAAATCATCCTTCTGAGTAACTTATCACTTCGTACAATTGTTGGTCACTCTGATGACTTTTACGTCACTCGTCTTATGACTTTCTGCTCTGGTCTTGGCATCCTGCAATGCAGATAGTGCTTCATAGTCTTCCCAGCATGGTGCCTTTATTTGATAATTACTAACTTGTCTCCATACCTCAACATTTTACTTATATCAGAAACCTAAGAGAAACTCTAGTTTACAACCAGCTCCCTAATTCCTATGGAGGTGAAGTAAAACCCAAATATTTATTAATGTACAGCTTCTACTACAATTAAATTTTACTAGTGCAGTATTGTCTCGATTTAAGAAAACCCTATTAATAAATCCAAAAATTACATGTTCTATCACTTGCGCCGAGTTGAGGAGGGAGGGGTTCCTGAAAATACCTAAGTGATACTGCTGGTTCATCAAATATTTCAGGATGCAACAACTTGGGTAGGACCTTTATAGTTTATTATATTGAGAGTTCAACATTTACATGAGTAAATTCTCCTTTACTTTCTTGCTCAAGTACTCTGTAAAACAAAATTTTAAGTTATTTTGCCTTTCAACAGGTAAACACTGGAGCGGTAGATTTCTGGGTTGAGGATAAATCGCAAGTGGTAATCTTCGGAGAACTGGATGTGGTACATGGCTCTCCGTGCCTCATAGCAAAAGTAAGTTTCTACTGTGTTTATTGCATGTTATGGCCTGATGAGCCAGTAACTGGGTTCTTTCTGCTTAACGGGCCTTAGAGCCGCCTCTTCTCTGATCCTACCCCAAGTCAATGGTAAACTATCAAGAACTGGTAGTAGCCAGTAATTGTGCAAAGACAAAGGGGAATAATCAGAACTAAATAACACCTTCAATATAATATCTATTGAAGTGTAACTACACTTATGTACACAGTGTCGCTTTCACACAGGACAATATATGTGCAGTGTTCTTCAAATCCTGTCAAGTTCACTATCTTCAAGTATACGTCGTCCACACTCAATGGTAATCACCAGCGATTTCACCTTCCTCAACATGGGCCAGTCTACACACACCGTATCGTCACGATGTCCAAATATAGACCCCTACATCTGCTCTCCACAAACACCCTGGCAAAGGTCTCTAGCAACACGCTAGCAGCACTTCTCAGCAGACGGTCAATACTGTCATCTAGTAACTCCTCTTGGCCAAATCCTGGGTACGTCGGTCCACACAACACTGCCTAAGTACAACAGCCAACATACTGCTTACTACCGACGGTGGCCACTTGTCCTTCACAGGACCAAGTCAGGCATTCTGGACTGCCCAAGGTGAACTGATTTCCACAGTGCAATTGACCCTTCATGTCACCTTTGTGAACATAAAAGTCGTTTGCCAGACAGAAAGTGTACAAGGAGAGCATAGGATGCCAACCTTTCAACAGGGAACGAAATTGTAATCAAATGCACAATCTAGGTGGTGTTGATATCGTTACGTCACTCACCAGAGGTCGTCATCATCATCATTGACCTTACCTCCTAACTGAGGTATGAAGCAGGAGCCTTTCACCAATGCCACACCACCGGCTACAGATGGTGTTGTTTGCGTCTCACCTAATGCCTTGGAGTTGGAGTGCAGGTCCATAGATGAGCTGCAATTGCCTCTCCCCACTCCAGCAACGGTGTTGATACTGTAACATTGCAAATTGCAAAGAAGTTGCAACTATTAATATTAAGAACTTTTTACATTTGCACGAGATATCTGTCCAGTACAAAAATACCCTGCTCATTCAGCAGCAACACCATAATGCATGGACTGCTGACCTTTACCTTTCCACTTTATCACCTTAATATACCTTCCTTATGGTATATTTTTTGCTCTTCCCTCTCCCATTCCTTATAATGAATTGGAAAATAGAGAAAAGAAGAGAACTCGAATGTCACGTATCTGCACTGAGTATGAGGAAGTTTGGAAGGTATCTGGTGGCAAGAGTACAAGTTAACCTTCTGGTCAGCTAGAATTTCCTGGGCACCATTTGAGTCTAAATGGGGTAATTGGTGTCTTATCTAGAATCCCAACCAATTCCCAAACCCAGGAATGACTTGAACATGACAGTGGTCCAAGGAAACAAGCTAACATTGACTTTGCATGACCTGACAAACCAAGGATGCATCCTTCCTGAATCTTTGACCAAAGACCAATTGAGAATATACTGGACTTAGGTTGAGTCTTTCTTGTCCACCAGAATGATTAATGTGACCTACTGTGACCTGGTCATGGGAATGACACTGCTGTCCAATGTGCCATTAATGAAAATCTAGAACAGAGGGGGGTAAATGGTTGAGCATTATGCCAGAACAATGGAAAAGGTGCTGGAAAGAAAGTACAGGTACCTGAGAGACCCCTGGTGATCAATTGAAGGGAAAAGGCATCCTGGATCCAAGCCAGCCAGCAGGTGCCCATATGTTACCCTTTCACACCATTGTTGGGGGATATCATAAAAGGGCTTTAAGGAACTAAAGAAAGGGCATCAACAAGGTTCACCCTGCACTGCCAGTCCAAAGATTCTAATAAGCAGGACCATGCACTTAGATGGACCACTCATGTACCAGCACCATCTCTTGAGACCCACTTTCACCTATCAAGAGGTCATACATGGCTCTCTCTACCAAAAAGTCAGACAAACAAAACACATCACTGCTTGAAAGAAAAAATTAAAAGATGAACACAAGGCAGACAAAGATCCCTAACTTGCTGGCCACCACACGATGGCAGCTCAAGGCACCCCGGGTTTTGGCCCTCCACTTACCTCATTCACTCGCTTGACACTTCCTGCATTGGCTATCATCTGCTGAGTTTCATATGCCATTTGTTGGCACGGATAAATGTGCTATCCTTAAGACTTTCATTCCTGCTGGGCTATTTTATTTTGTTCATTTCACCTCACAATATAAACATGTACAATTGAGATTGGTACAATGATTATATTGTTGACAATTAATTGCAATTAAGTTGCACATGTACTGTTGTTGGTACATTTAACTCATATTTGTTATTGTATAATATGCTAACTAATTTAATTAAAATTTATGTAATAAATTTATTCCCTATTCTAAGTCTTGAGTTTTGCTTGACCCAGAAATTGGTCCCTGTGCGGTGTGCGATATCCTGTCATTCATAGATGTTGTTTGCCTCTCGGTACATTTCCCATTCATTTGCCCCTTTTTTTTCCCTGGCTGCTGATGGGGCCCATTTGGTTGTATTGCCATACTGTTATTGGATGTTTGGGTTGTCTCTGCTTTGACCAAATCTTCCCTAAGGTTTCAATTCTGGCAGCTGAGGTCTGGGGCTCTCTCTTCCCCCTCCCAGGAAGGGGGGGGGGGGTTGCGCAGACGGTGGCGCGGCGACGTGATGACATCATGCTAGTTTTTGTTTGGGGAGTTCTGTCCACTTGTTCAGCTTTCGGTAGCGATTTTCACCAGTATAGAGGTTTGTTTTGGGACGCCTACCTTTCTGGATGACAGACCCGGTCGATGGCAGACGTAGAATGCTTCCAACCACACGGGGGGTTTCTATAAACCATTGCTGCTCGTGCAGTGGGGCTGGTGGGGGGGGGGCAGGTTCTGGCCGTGGTCCCTAGTAGGCAGAACTCCATGCACTTTGAGTGATACCAGAAAGCTAAATAAGTACAGATCAGCCTGGATAGCTCCGGGAAACTTCCGGGTCTCGCCCAGAAAATGGCGTTTCAATACATTCAACACTGGGTGTTTTTCTCCCTAGGCACTACTGTGAACAACCACTGAGGAGCAATTAAGGGTCTTTTTCCAGAAATTAAGCATTGAATGTACTGTACTCAAATGCCTTTTTCTGGTAGCTTACTGTCTATACCCTATTTACTTTTGGCTGTACCCTGGGGATTTTTGGGGTTCAGTGCTGGTGGCTTATAAGTGAGTTAGGTTGTTTGTTGAGACCCTGGGTACGTGGGGGCTGCCATTTAGTGGTTACTGGGCCAGTTAAGGTTTTTCCTTGTCAATCTGAAAACAATACAACTGTCACTTGTATTGTTTCCATCATTCATTTCTCTCTTTCACACAGTGGTGGTTTGGTTTGCTTCATCTGAACACCAAGAAATCAAAATGGCATGAAATGTCAATGACAAAATCAGTTGAGCACTGCAGGGATTTGAACCAGCATCTTGGTGAATACTCCATTACTAGATTGCAGGTGGGGTATTTGTAAAACTGGTTTGGGGCACCAGCTGGGGCCTCCAGAATTCCTTAGTGGAATCAGTAGAATCCCAGATTGAATAGCTTTTGTCCTGTCATGGCTAGTGGGTTAACGTGCACTTCTGGTATTCACCAGGACACTAGTTCAAATTCCCGCACTGCTCCAACTGATTGAGTCCCTTTCATCTGACCTTTGGGTTCAGTTTCGTCAGCTTTGGGTAGATCTCCGATTACCAAGCTCCCTTCACCTCGTACAGGGAGCCAGATCCTAGTACTCTCTCCTGATATGTCATAGGCCTAACATGAGCCTTAGGCTTAGTAGCAGCATTGCATAAGCATTGGGGGACCTACTGAGGGTTTCCCAGAAAATGGCATTTCACTACTTTCATCTCTTGATTTTTCAATTGATTGTGATTGCTAAGTATTTAATATAACTTTTTCCTCCCTTTCAGATTATTCGTGAATGCAATAATTTAAATTTGCAAAAGAATAATCGTGCCATCGAGGTTGTTCGTTGCCGCTTCCCCCACATCCTCAAGTGACGCCTTTATCACATATTCTGCGCAACTTATTTATAATGTCTGAATAGTGATTTTCATCATATGTGCAGTATAATATAGTACAGATATGTATATATAAAGTATATATACATATATATATGCAAATATTTTGATCTGTAGAAGAGTTTCAAATTACCATTTACAGAGTTAGTTTTATAGTTAGGCCATCCAAGGGGAATAAATATTGTTGACACAAATAGTGTGCAAAACGATTCTCATATTCTGTCATGAGAGCTCTCAGTGCCAGATATATTTGGAGATTTAAAAAGCTTCAAGAAAAGCACATGTTCCAACATAGAAACTTGTACTGTTCTGTGTATTTACACGAACTTGCCCATCAACGTGAATTTGTTCATTTTCCTGACGTTTTTCTTCATTGTGATCTTCTTGATGTAGATAAGGTAAAAAAGCACTGTCACAGACACAATCATTCTGGCTTAGCAAAGCCTTACGAAGTGTTACGTCACGAATCATTGTGGTTTAGTAAAGCCTAGCGGAGTGTTACATAACAAATCATTGTGGTTTGGTTACGCTTTTGGGAAGTGTCATGTCACGAATCACTATGGTTTAGTGAAGCCTAGTGTAGTTTTACGTCACAAATTACTGTGGTTTAGCAAAGTCTTGCAGTGTGTTATGTCACAAATCATTGTGATTTAGCAAAGAGTAGCAGTGTTACAACACAGTGGACTTATGCAAGATCAGGAGCATTATGAGCAGTACTAGCCACTCTGAAGCATTTTGCGATGATTTACAGGAGGGACAGGAACAGCTTCACCATGTCTCGCTCCACACACAGGAAGGTGCCCAACAGGTCCATCATGATAATAAAACAGGGGTGACACATGCAGCAACTGGAGTAGACACTTGTCATGGTAATGTGTGCAAAATTAAAGAAAATGAAAGAGATTTGAGCCTGGGAGAAGAAAAGGTTCCTGATCAAGGAATAGGTAGCATTTTGGAAGATGAAGGGGAAGTTGAAGTCGGGCAAAGATCAAAGGAAACAGAATACTTTGAGAGCTCTGCTTCCAAATGTATTACTGGACAAGTAGCATCAGGTTGCTTGGAGTTAGAAGGTGCTGGTAATGAATTAAAAACAATATTTAGAGATACCCAAAGGGAATTTCTTTCTGCTGTTTGTGAAACTGAAAGTGAACTTAACCAAATATTTACAAGCTCTTCATCAATTAGTTTATGTGCTAATGAACAAGCCATTAAAGATTCTCACCCTGAAATAAGAGATTCTGAAGGCAACATTTTACAATTAAAATGTGATTCTGTCTCTTCTGACAGCACTTGTAATTCTAAAGACATAGTTGGGGATGTGCATGTTGACAGTGAGCATGACCAAGGGAACTCTAGCCTTCATGATGCTAGGATAAAAAGTGCTAAGCTTGTTGTTGATGAACTTGATGATGCACATGTTGGTGTAAATGTGTGTGGCCTACAAGATAGACATGTTGTGGATGCTTCATGCCATCAAGCATCAAAAGTGAACATGGATGTGGATTTTGAGTGTAATACAGTGATATCCAGTAGTGTAAATATATGTTCAAATTTGCTTGCCAAAAATAATACTAGAACAAACAATAATATAGCATTAGAAGCAGTAAGAGGAGAATTATTTAAAGATATAAGGATAGTTGACATTGATAAAGAAAAGATTGTAAGCACTGAGAAGGAAATTAATTTTGAAGAAAAAGTGATATTGCCTCAGCGAAGACATGCTGAGTACCATGGTTGTGAACAACTACAATCTGATGAATTATTGACTATTGGAAATGACGAGAGGTGTCTGAAGGCACTGCCACTCTCGGCTCCTTCCACTCCCGTTCCTTCTTCTTCAAGCTCAGTCAGGAAAGTACTTAGATCTCAGGGATGCCGAGGTCGACGAGTTTCGTTCCCTGAAGATGAAACCTATCTAATATCCAGTTACTTGGAGCCTGTTAATCCTTGGCAACAAATGGGAGGAGTAACGGTAGAAGAAATAGCAGCAGCTTACAGGTCTTCGTGTGAACGACATCGTACACAACCACTTCCAGGAGTGTTGCAACAAATTAAAGCTTTGCCATTAGCTATTGGAGGACGTGTGGAGTGCCTCAGTCTACGTGGACTTAGGTTGGAAGGAGGTCAGTGTGAAGGCTTGGAAGAGATATTCCGAAGAGTACAGTTTAAAATCTTGGACCTGGAAGGTTGCTCTCTTGATGATGATACGGCTATTCCTCTCTTTGATATGATTGAGTTTTATGATTCAGCTACACAGTTAAATATTTCATGCAATGGAAGAATTGGCTTTCGAGGTTGGCAGGCTTGTTCCCGGATGTTGAAACGAACTCCTTCTGTTGAATATTTAGATGCTCGTAATACAAACTTAAACGAAACAAACATGCCAATACTTGGTAGAGCGCTGCGTCTTGGAGCTCGATTGCACACTTTGCATCTTGAGAATTGTAACTTGACTGGACGACCACTAATAATGCTGACTGCTGCCCTTAGACAAAATGATACTCTATCTGAATTATATTTAGCAGAAAATCGACTTGGTGTGAATGACTGCATACAACTTGGTAATTTAGTTCGTGCCAATAACACTCTTCGTCTCCTTGATCTTCGAAACAACAACGTTCAGGATGTTGGATGTAGCCATGTATGTGAAGGTATAGCAGCGCAACAGAAGCAACAACAAGAAGCAGTAAATGATAGTTCCAGTGACAAGACTGCATGTGTGGGTCTCAACTCACTTATACTTTGGAACAATCATCTTACCCAGCAGTCAGCACCACACCTAGCTGCAATGCTAGCAGCAACTAAAACTCTGGAAACCTTAAATCTAGGACGTAATAACCTTACGAGTGAAGGTATTTTACGCTTGAAAGAGTCCCTACTGAGAAATCACGCCTTACTTCGTTTAGGTCTTCAAGCAGCTCGTATAGCAGATGAAGGCGCTGTAGCTCTTGCAGAATATACTGCTGACAACACTGCCATTCAACACATTGACCTTCGAGAAAACCCAATACGTGTGGCTGGGCTCATGGCATTAGCTCACTCACTGCGTCTTAATTCTACTATCATTCAAATGGACATTGACTCTGACCCTAGAACTGAACCAGCAGTAGAGTTAGCAGAACAGCATTCTTCATTACAAAAAGAAATAAAAGAGTATTGTCAGCGGAACTTGACTCAAAGCCATGTACGTGCTTCAGAAGAACATGCTAAAGTTGTCAAGCAAGAAGGGAATAAAGATAGATCTCCTAATGAAGGGTCATGTACTAGTGGAGCCATTAGAAAAATTTCACTTTCTTGTGAGACGGCAACAAGCAAAACATGTGTTACTGATAAAACTGAAGGGACAAACCGAGAAGACGAAAAACAAAAGTACACAAGTCCAGCTCCAAGTCCGCTTCCAAGCCCTTCTCCAAGCCCTTGTGCTAGCCCATCTCCCAGTCCAGTACCTAGTCCTCTCAAGAATCGATTCAGAGTTTTCAAAGTACATGAAACTTCCAAAAGTTCACCTGAGCTAATCACAGGTTCTAGCCAAATGCCTGTTCTTGCCAATTCAATTCCTGTCTCTCAAACAGGAAGAAGTATGTCAACAGGTGACTTAAGTCAGTCACAAAAGCAGAATTCTGTGCAGTCCAACAGGTTCAGTTCTGGAGGTCGTTTCACGGTAACCCGGGTGGCTGAACCATCTGGCTCTCGTAGCTTGCCTGTTGACCAAGAGAAGGCCACAAGCATTACTACTAATTACAGTAATGCAAGTTCTGCATCAGGGCCAAAAATTGTAATTTCTTCACCAGTTAGGGTAGAAAGAGGTTTCAGTGTAGATGGAACTTCATCTCCATTAGTCATGGATAAAAATGGAGATAATGAATATAAATGTGAGCAGACTAAGACTTTACAATGTAAGTCATCTAGTCAACCAGAGGATCAAGTACACCCACAACACCAGTCATCAGGCCTTGTCAGACTGAAATCAGAGGTAGAAAGTGATGATGTGTTTGTGGATGCCATAAATTTCAAGACAGCTTCTTCAGAGTGCCAGAGAAAAGACTTGGCATCACAAAGAAATAGAGCCATGTATAAAACTAACCCAGCTGAGAGTCAGAGGAGTGAGAAGAATTCAGACTCTTTAAGTTCAAGTGATCTTACAGATAGTGGTTTCCTGGATGAGGGTGTGTGTGGCAGGGGAGTTGAGAGTCTTGCACTAAGCCCCAGCACCCCACATCCTGAAAGTGATCGAGACTCACTTTTGAGCTCCTCAATGGACAGCACCAGTCAAGAGGACACAGGACTAAGTTTAGCCATAGACAGGAGCAGTGTCGTTCTAAGTTCAACGCCTTGCATTCCACTTCTGGCGTGCCAGCCTCAGCAGTCAGATTTACTCTTGTTGAATGAACCCCCAAAGAGGGCACCTCTTGCTTCTATGGAAAATGGTAGCTTTGACTCTGATAGTGAGGATAGTGAGTTAACTACACAATCATCAGATTCCACACACAGTGATGAGGTACGCATCACCACTGAACAGTATGAACCAATACCTGCTTGGGGATCTAAGCAAGAGCCAACTGAGGTTACTATTTCTTCCCAGGCTGTATCTTCATCAGGATCTCCAGCAACGTCTTAAACAATCTTGCAAACTTTACAAAACTCCTACAGTGTATTTTCGTGTCGGAAAGTTTACACTTTTAACCTCGTGAGCTGGAGTTATAGAAGGTTGCATTAACAAGGCAAATATATGGCCGAGTACTACGTCAAGGGGCATTGTGAGAGAAGTCTGCTGTCACTTGCATGGTCGGTGTCATTTCATTATATAATGTATTAATGATATATAATTTACCTCACCAATTCTCATTTCAAGTATCAAAAATTTTGTATAATTTTACAAGATAGCATTTATTATTATTTGAAAATATCAGTGCACACATACTTTGCTAAGAAACTTTGATTTTTGCTAAATTCTAGATTTTTGCTGACTATGGTAACTGCATTACCTATTTTAACTAATTACTATAGAATATTTTCATGTACATTATAATGAAACTTTTATTATCAAATTTAGTTTTTAAGCAAAATTGAGCAAAAGTTGTGTATTATTTAAATTTTAATAGATATTTTCTTTTTAGTTTCACAATTATATTGTACATACTGTGCAGGTGTCTCTTCCAATTTAAGATGGGTGCCATCTACAGTACTTACACCTCTTTAAAGGAAATACAAAGACAAAAAATATATTTTTATTTATTTAAGTGTACCGGTATTGTTCACAGTTTAAATATTTTACATTACCTCAGTTTAAGGTTGCTGTATTTTTGGCAATCATGTAAATGGAGTATGATTTTGATTTTAGTCGTGTAAATACGTGAATGGGAGTAACATTGTGCTTAGTATTGTCTTATATTGTCACTGATATGGTTGGAGACATTTTATTACGTATTTTATAAAAAATGATTTTTTTCAGACTGTAATTTTGCATGAGAAAAGCTTTTGTTATCAATGAACATTTATATTAATGAGATTATCATTGTGCCATAAAAATTAAATCTTTCATGCTTTTGAATGTTTATACAGGGTATCACAAATTTGTTATAGAAAAAAAAGACAACCACTTCGGTGTCCTCAAAGTATAAAATGCATACATAAACATTTTGTAGTGTGATGAATGTATGTGTCCCTGTTCTGTTTTCTTGAGACTCTGGTCGCCCCAAGTCCAGATTTAGAGAAATGAAAATGTTCTGTAACATTCTTCTAAAAGTACTGAATGACAATTTGTCCCAGCATTGGTTCACATCCCAGCACTGGCTCGTGTCCCAGTACTGGCTCATGTCCCAGCAATGGCTCATATCCTAGCACTGGCTCATATCCTAGCACTGGCTCATGTCCCAGCACTGGTTCACTTCCCAGCACTGGGTTCATGTCCTGGCACTAGCTCATGTCCCAACACTGGGGTTATGTGCCAACACTGGGGCCACGTCCCAGTACTGGGCTCACGTACCAGCTCTGGGCTCACATACCAGGTCTGGGCTCATTTCCCAGCCATGGGTTCATGTCCCAGCCCTGGGTTTATTTCCCAGCCCTGGGGGTTCATGTCCCAGCCCTGGGTCATGTCCCAGCCCTGGGTTCATGTTCCAGCCCTGGGTTCATGTCCCAGCCCTGGGTTCATGTCCCAGCCCTGGGTTCATGTCCCAGCTCTGGGTTCATGTCCCAGCCCTGGGCCATGTCCCAGCCCTGGGTTCATGTCCCAGCCCTGGGGGTTCATGTCCCAGCCCTGGGTTCATGTCCCAGCCCTGGGGGTTCATGTCCCAGCCCTGGGTTCATGTCCCAGCCCTGGGCCATGTCCCTAATACCATATCAACAGTAATATTCTTCTAGAAATAATCAGATTGTTTTTAGAACATTTCCTGAAGTGCTTGTTTGGTGTTGGTTGTATTATAGCGAAGCTTTACCATAAAATAATTAACAGCAACAGATATGGGCTTGAAAGTACAAAAAATTAACTACAGTGTTGAATTACCATTTTATTTAGTCAAAGAAATTCTACAGTACCTTGAATTTTGTATTTATGATTTTGTTTGTAAAAATACATATTGTGCTCTGATGTGTAGTACAACTATTATCAGCAAAAGTTTAATTTTAAAAGTGAGGCTAGTAATAAAAATACAGCAAAATAAATACAGTATCTCGGTTTAAGTGACAAATTCTTAACTAACTGGCATCTCCTAAATACAGGTGATAAATGTATTTGTTGCAACACTGATCAAGAAAGTGTTGTTCTTTCACCGCTGAAAACCATGTTCCTCTCAGAATGACCTGTAACCTCCCCTCAATACAATATATCTACACTATTTTAAATTAGCAAAAAAATAAAAATAAAAAAAACCCATTGTAGTTGAGCATGGTTTTGAATTGTATTAATCCTTTATGGAGGTAAATTGTTGTTTAATAAATATTTTATTGGGATTATTGACCATGAATTGTGTAGGTTGGATCATATACTGTACTTGAGATTTTAATTTCATCACTACAAAGCAGATGATTTAATATAATTAGATGTTAGCTTGCTGCTTGTGTACAGTGTTTGTGATAACTTGAAGACTGCCACGCGTGCAGTTAGCTGTGTGTTTTGGTAAACCAAGGTGTCCGCCACCAGTCTTGTTCCTATACTTTTAACAAGATAGCCAACAGTGGTGACTGGCCCATTGAAATTTTGGTGCTAATTGTTGGATAGTTGAAAATTCAGTGCAATTTCTTTCCTTATACTAGAACTCGTGCTACTAGCATTTGGGAGCTGTAAAATTAGAATAGGTAATGAACTAGTTCTTTTATGTAAATAAGATAAGTTAACGGGACAGGTAGAGGGTGGGGTTTTCTTGGTACAGTACTGTAGTACAGTATAGTGTATATAGGCTAGTAGTTATCGTGTGGGGGGCCGATGCTTTTCTCTGGTGACGGCGGTACAAACTCATCGTGGTGATGCCAGGGATTGCATGTCCCTAGCTCACACTTCAATGGGGTAGTAGATATTTCTACTGTTGATGATAAAGAGTCTGAGGATGATTTTTCCTGCGTCTCGTCATATTTAAATTGGTGTTACGGTTGTTCGCGTAAGTTCATCATTTCCATAGTTACTGCTGTAAGTTGTAATATGTTTATAAACATTATGCTGATTGCCTATTTTTCAATATTTTGTACTTTTCATACTGGTAATAGATGGTTTGTTCAAAACACTATAAATTAAAAATATCAGTAATTAGACCTGTGTATTTTATATTAAAATAATTTTTTTAATGAAGTACCTTATGTCTTGCCAGCATTGTGTTTACAGCGTGAAGATATTCAAGTCATTCATTTGTTTAAGACAGTTATCATGAATGTCTTTCAATTTGAAAAATGTCTTTTCTCTCTCTCTTTCTCTCTCTCTCTCTCTTGGACAGCAAAGGTTATTTAGTGGCATGAGGATTACCTTAATGAATGCACCCATTTGATCCACGTGTAAATTTAGCTAGTAGCCATTCTCATTCACAATTGGTGAGATGCGGTGTTGGGAGGACTTTAAGTGAAGATGAGAATGGTCTTGTATTAGTAGCACTGAGTTACGTGTACCGACATATAAGATATGTAAAGCTGTGTTCATGGTGCGTTAACTGACCTCCACTCACCTGGGTGATAAATGTGGGTACTGTGTCTTCATTGAAGCAGATCCTTTCACACTGGCAACCAACCCAACCTACATAATGACCACCTCCATATTCACCTACAATTATTTATTTATTTATTTTACAAAACCATTTAGCATCATACCAAATATATCCAGGAATGTTGGATTTATTTTTATTATGGTACATTAACTGAAATAAATCAAGTGTGGGAAGAGAGCTAACTGTATTGTATTCTGAAAGCTTGAGTACTGATGTTTAACATGCTCTGGAAGCTTGCATACTGATGTTTAATATGCTCTGGAAGCTTACATTCTAATGTTTAACATGTTCTGGAAGCTTGCATACTGATGTTGAACATATTCTGGAAGTTTGCTTATTGATGTTACGAACATACTTTGCAGGATGTCCCACGATTACTGGTAGCAGATATTAATAGTGGTGTGATGTGTAAACCTGAATGATTGGCAAACCTCCAACCAATAATAGGGAGAACCAAGAGATATTTTGTTAAAGTTTTATTATGTATATATTGAAGCAACTAGATGCTTTATCCTTATATTAGCTGAGAATCTACCCAGTGGGCACTGTTGGTTAAAAAGTGACCAATTTGACATACTGCTTAGTATGAAACATCGGTCGCTTTCAACCAATGGTGCCCACTGGGTAGCTAGCAATGTGATAGCCTCAATTTGTACCAATTAAATGAGGACATTTTGATTCTGAAATGGGAATGTGATGAAAATTATATATATGCTTTATAACTCGTGTTCAGCATCTTTGTGAGTAGGTTTTATGTCATCGTCTTGAGAAACTGGCCTCGTATCAGGCTTTTTACTTTATAAATATATGTGGGCACTTGAACACTAACCCTTGGAAGTGTTTTCAGTTACAGCTGCACAAATGTTATACATAGGGGATTTGCTACTCTGAAGAGAATTTAGGAAGGTGAATGTACTATATAAAGTAGTACTGTACTTTTAAATTGGATATTGTATAATTGCATTAATATAATGAACAATATTGATCCTGATACTAATTGCAATGAAGAGAAATATTCATTGTTCACTTCAAATTATTTATGCTCTTAACCTCAGGTGTAAAAAGACTCAGGATTTCTCATACAAACATTTCTAAATAAACAGTAAAAATAAATCATAAATATAATATTAATGCATATATAGTATTAAACTTTATATGCTGAACTTTGACCATGATCTTTGTCCTACTTTTTGCAAAATTTAAAGTTTTTACTTTGCCATAACCAAGCTTAGATGATAGGTTTTGTCAAAATTGGTCTACATATTTCAGAGATTTTGCTCATTAAAAAATGCAAAATGAAAACAATAACAATGTTATCCATTGGGCAAGGTTAGCAATTTGTAAACTATGGATATTTACATTCAAAGTCTTGAACTAGCTGATCTTTTCTTCACAGACCCCCTCCCCGCTCAGCTCGTTGTCGCCGTGTGGGGGCTTAGTGGGCGGCTGCCGGAGTGTGATGCTCCTTGGGACAGTCCTCTGTCCTTTTCTAGCCTTGTGCTCCTGCTGCCGTCCTCTCCAATTCTGCTGGGCATCTTTTCCTTTTCCTTCTGTTTCGTTTTTCTCCCCCCTCTTCTCCTATCTGCTTGCCGTTTCCTGCCGACCTTTTGCTCGTTCTGGTTCTTCCCTTGGACTTCTTATATTTTGACGCCCGGGTGCTTGAGGAGGCATACTCATGCACCCGTAGAACTGCAGTACCCGACGTCGAGAGCGAGGGGAACCTTTTATTGTCAATCCCCACTTCGTCACTGAACCCGATCTCGACGGACTGTCGGTTTCTTAAGGTGGCGTTTGTGGGGCGTATACTCGCGACGCACCCCTAGGAGGCCCCGACAGGATCGGCGATAGCTTCTTGTTGGGTGTCCTGCCTCTAATTGTGGCTCCATGGTGGGTGTGGGGGCACATTCGTGAGTGAATTATTTCTTTCGTCAAGATGATTACCCCTGCTTCGGCTTCTTCTGGTTTACCTTCTCAGGCTCGTGGGGTGGGCGACCAAGCCCCCGAGTCGGTCCGTATTGGAAGACCGGGCTCTGTAGCCTCCGCTGCATTGGGCCCCGACCTTGCTCCTCCTTTGGCCTCTCTGACTCCTTCCTCTGGCTCCCCTCCCTCCTCTGTGGTTGGGTCGAGCCCCAAGCCCCCAGTGGTGACTACCTCGTCCCCTGGCGTGGCTCCTTCTCTAGTTGTAACTACTGCGCCTTTTAACCCCTCTCTCTCTGGGGGTTCTCACCGCCGTCTTCGTCACGGCCGCCCTCGCTCGATTCCTTCCAGTTCTGCTACCTATCAAGCCTTGTTTGGCCCCGCTTCGTGGGCCAAATATTTTGATCTCCTCCCTCTTGATTCTGCGCCTCCTGACGATTTCTCCCTCCATCGACATCTCATTGATTCCGTGGATGCCTCCATTACTTTCAACCCCACTCGTCTCGGTACACGTGTCGTTGCTGCTCCTTCTCAGGATGCTGCTTCCCGCTTGGCTGCCTTATCCTGCCTTGGCGAGACCCCCGTTCGGGTCTCGAAGAACGTTCAGTTGAATGCCAGTGTTGGCACTATTTTGCTCCCGCCCCATGTTGCGACCGGTGTTCGGGACCTACGCGACTGCCACGACGATATTCGACATATCCTCGCTGCCCAGGGCCATTCTATTCTCCAGGTGGACACGTTTACTCGTCCCCCTCGTGGTAGTCGCCGTCAACCCCTCCGGGTTGTGAAGATTACCTTTGATGGTAGGACCCTTCCACCCTCTGTCATTCTTGCTGGTGCCAGGTGCTCTGTCCAGGAGTACATTCCTTCTCCTCGGCTCTGCAACAAGTGCTGGAGGTTTGGGCATGGTGCCCTCCGCTGCTCCGGGACTGTCTCTCTCTGTCCTTTGTGTGGTGGCGAAGGTCACTCTAAGTCGGAGTGCGCTTCTCCCCAGGCTCGTTGCCTCAACTGCGGTGAGGCCCATCCTACCTTCTCCCGTGCGTGTGTCCATTACAAGCTTGAGGCAGCCGTCCTCAACTTGAAGCACCGGGAGCGTTTATCTTTTCCTGAGGCGAGGCGCCAGGTTCGCCGGCTCCCGCCTTATGCTAATATCTCTTATGCTCGCGTGTTGCGCTCTTCCTCTCCTCGTCCTTCCCGCCTTCCTCAGACTCGCAACCGTTTCCAGGCCTTGGACCCTGATGCGCCCACTGCCCCCTCCTCTGTCCCTTTGGGTTCTCTCCCGAAGGATCCTCCTCCTGGTCCTCTGTCTGGGGTTCCCCTTCCTTCTACCCGGTCTGTCGTGTCTTCTGTGTCTTCTTCCTCGTCCCCCTCCGATCCTCCTTCCCATCCTCTTCCTCCATCTATCGGCTCTCCCCGCCGCCTGTCGGTGCGGGCGGATGTCCATCGCTCTCCTAACGGCCGTCGTGTGTGCTCTCGTTCGGCTTCTCCTGTTGAGACACTGGAATCCGTTGCCCGGTACGTAGTTGCTGGGACACCGGTCTCTTTAAGTCAGAAGCGTAAGCCTGGCTCCTCTCCTTCCTCTTCCCCGGCGGGTAAGAAGGCTTCGCTTTCTTCCTCAGCTCCTCCTTCTGGCTCTGTTGCTCCTTCCCCTCCCGTTTCAGTGCTTGCGCCCCCTGTTCCTGCTATGGAGGTTTCTTTGGCCCCTGCTTCCCTTTCGGTTGCTGCTCTTGCTGGGGTGCGCTCCTCTCTTTCTACTCCCCCTCTTCCTGCTGCTGTCCTTGACTGCTCCTCTCCGTTGTCTCCTCCTCCTCCTCCTCCTCCTCCTCCTCCTCCTCCTCCTCCGGACCCTGCCCGCCCACCTCTGATCTGTTCTCCCGTTTCCTTCCCTCCGTCTTTGCTCAGTTTACCCATGCCCCCTAACCCTGACTTTGCTGACCCTGATCCCGACCCTGATATTCTTTAACGTGCTCTGTTGGTCTTTCGCCTTTGTTTCTTCCTTGTTCTCTGTTTTTGTCCTTTCTCTTCTCGTCGTTGTCCATTCTTCAATGGAACGTTCGAGGTTATTACGCCAATTTCCTCGAACTCCAACTTCTGGTTTCGCGGTTTTCGCCCCTTTGTGTCTGTCTCCAGGAGCCGATGCTTGGTGCTCGTCCTGGTCGTTTTCGTGGCTATTCCTTTCTCTCCCCCCCCCCAGCCATTGCTGGGGCTTCTAATTCTTCTGCTCTCTTGATTCGGGCTGATGTTCCCTTTGTTCCTTTACTTTTTCCTTCGCCTCTCCATTGTTCTGCTGCTCGTATCTTTGTGGGGAAATGGTACACAGTTTGTTCCATTTATCTCCCCCCGAGTGTCCCGCTCTCTCTTCCTGATTTGAAACACCTCCTAGACTCCTTGCCGGAGCCTGTGCTCCTGCTGGGTGACTTCAATTGTCGTCATTCTCTTTGGGGTGACGTTCTGACGAATACCCGGGGTCGCCTCCTTGAGCCGTTTCTCCTCTCTTCTTCCCTGTCTCTTCTGAATTCTGGTGAGCCCACTCATTTGGACTCTCGAACTCGCACCCTTTCTTGTCTTGATCTTTCTCTCTGCTCTTCTTCTCTTTACTTAGATTTCACATGGCAGGTTCTTGATGACCTCCATGGAAGTGATCATTTCCCCATCCTTGTTTCCTTTTTCTCTTTTCGCCCTTCCCTCTCTTTCCCTAGGTGGCAGTTTGCTAAGGCGGACTGGACCCTATTTTCCCTCAGTGCTACTCTCTCTGACCTCTCCCTTCTGCCCCTCTCTCGCGCTCTCCTCCTTTTTCATGACACTGTCTTCGACGCTGCCCTCCGCTCTATTCCTCGCTCTTCCTCTCGGGGTCCACGGAAGTGCGTTCCCTGGTGGAATGCGGACTGTGCTCGGGCTGTCCGCTGTAAGCGTGCAGCCTGGAAGAAGCACCGCCGTAGGCAGACGACCGATTCTTTTCTTTTCTTTCGGAAAGCGAGTGCGGTGGCCCGTAGGGCCATCCGTACGGCTAAACGTGAATGTTGGGCATCTTATGTCTCGACAATTACGTCCGAAACCCCTCTGGCCCAGATCTGGAAGCGTATCCGCAAGATAGCGGGTAAGTTCGTTCCCGATGTTTCACCGGTCCTTCACCTCCATGATACTCTTGTGGCGGACCCGTTGCAGGTCGCTTCCGAACTGGGTTCCCACTTTTCTTCTGTTAGCTCTGGTCTTCATCTTCCCCAATCTTTCCTTCTTCGTAAACCTGTCCTTGAGTCTCGTCCTTTAGATTTCTGCACTCATCTTCAGCTTCCCTATAATGATCCCTTCTCTCTCTCTGAACTTCGTTCTGCCCTGGCCCTCTGCGGTTCTACGGCGGCGGGCTCCGATGGTATTCATTATGAGATGCTTCGCCATCTCCCTCCGAGCACGTCTCAGTATTTACTGAGTCTGTATAATCGGATCTGGGAGTCGTCGTCAGTCCCTGAGGACTGGCTCGATGCCGTTGTCCTCCCTGTTCGCAAACCGGGGTCTCTGGGTACTTCCCCTAAGGACTTTCGCCCTATTGCTCTCACAAGTTGTGTCTGCAAACTCTTTGAACGTATGGTTAACGTTCGTCTGATGTGGTTCCTGGAACACCATCACCTCCTCTCCCCTTCTCAATTTGGTTTCCGCAAGTGCCGCAGCACGACAGATGTCCTGGTGAACTTGGAGGTCTATATTCGTACTGCTTTTGCTGCGAAGACCTCCGTTGTTGCCGTCCTTTTTGACCTAGAAAAGGCTTACGACACCACTTGGCGTTATCATATCCTATCTCAACTTCATTCTTTTGGCCTTCGTGGTCATCTCCCTCTCTTTCTCCGCAGCTTCCTCTCTCGTCGTTCCTTTCGGGTGCGCCTTGGTACCGCTCTGTCTCCCTCTTTTCAGCAATACGAAGGTGTGCCCCAGGGTAGTGTTCTGAGCACTACTCTTTTTCTGGTTGCCCTCAATGGTCTTCTTTCCTCTCTTCCTTCTGGTGTCTTCTCCGCTCTCTATGTCGATGATCTTACCCTTTGTTGTCAGGGTGATGATTCGCCTCTCCTTCAACGCCGGCTTCAACTTGCGATTGATGCCGTGTCGTCTTGGGCCACAGGTCATGGCTTCAAGTTCTCTACTTCTAAGACTTGTGCCATGACTTTTACGCGGAAACGGGTTGTTCTTCGTCCCTCTTTGTCACTTTATGGTCATCCCCTTGAATACAAAGATTCCGCGAAGCTTTTGGGGTTATTCCTTGACACTCGTTTGTCTTGGTCTCCCCATATCTCTTACCTCCGTGTTGAGTGCTCTAAGTCCCTTACCCTCCTTCGGGTCTTGTCCCATACTTCTTGGGGGGCAGATAGGCGCACTCTCCTTGCTTTACATTCCTCTCTCGTCCTGTCTAAGCTCGATTATGGTTGCCCTGCTTACTCGTCTGCTTCTCCTTCTACTCTTCGCCGTCT